GAATTTTTAATCTTTATTTTTTAGTTCTCGGCAGACACAACATCTTTGTTGGTATGTGGTGCTGAGGATCGAACCCGGGCCGTACGCATGCCAGGCGAGCGCTTTACCGCTTGAGCCACATCCCCAGTCCCTCATGGTTTCTAGATTGTTATATTTTTAAAAACCCAAGGAAGATGTACTCTATGGTTCAGATAGGAGGTATTCCCCCAAATGCTCACATGTGAAACAATGCAAAAAGGTTCAGAGGTGAAATGATTAGAGGATGACCACTGTAACCCCACCGTGGATTAATCCAGACAGGCCGGAGGCTGTGGCTGGGGAGGTAGGTCCCTGAGGGCATGCCTTTGGGGCTTATCTTTTGTCCCTAGTAAGCAAAACACTCTCTGCTTCCTGTTGCCGTGTCCTGACAGTTCTCCTCCACTACTCCCTTTGTCTTCATGTCCTGCCTCATCTCAGGCCCAAAGCAATGGTGTTGCCTGTCGATGAACTGCAACCTCAGAAACCAAAACCCAAAATAGTTTTCCTCCTTTGCATTACTTGTCAGGTCTTTTGGTCACCGTGGTGAGAACCTGACTAAAACACATACCCATATAAGAAAATGTGTCCTTGCCAAGGGCAGGGGCTGGCTCTGTGTTCTTTCGCACATACTTCGCACTCGGCTCTGAGACCTCTTCTTCATGGTCATCTAAGGGCTCTCTGAGACGCTTGCTGACTTTCACCTGTGACTCTTGTGCATGTGTATTTTTTTGCTCTGGAAGACAAGAGCCTATTCATGAGATAGAAACAATGAACATAAAATGTACTACTCAAGAATCAAGAATTCTGGCAAGTTATTTACTATCACACCCTTTGAACAGCCCTACAAATAGGGAATGACTTGGAACACACCATCTCAGATTTTGGGGGGGGGGGGTTGGCACTGGGATTGAACCCAGGGCACTTAACCACTGAGCCACATTCCCAGCCCTTTCCTATATTTTGAGACACGTTGTTTAGGGCCTTGCTAAGTTGCTGAGGCTGGCTTTGAACTCCTAATCCTCCTGCCTCAGCCTCCCAAGCTGCTGGGATTACAGGCATGCACCACCATGCCCAGCTCATCTCAGATTTTGACGTCCTGTGAAATAATTCTCAACTCTCCAAGGTGAGCTTGGTAAGAGCACTGTGAAGACAATAGAAGAGCTTCTGTGGAAAAACCTGGTTTTGATGGACATAACAGACACACCAGTTAGGGATGACAATGTGAAAATTTGAGGGACTCTTACCCAGGAAAACAAGGACCCAAATTTGTACATAAGATCAGCCTCCTTGCTGCCCCAAATATTGCCATTACATGAACTCCACACTAAGAACCTCTAGGGAGGCTAAGGGGGTGTGGGTCAAGCATAAACAATCAGGAAACAAGCCAACTACTATTGTAGTTTCTCTTCAGGTGGACCCGGGGTTAAAGCCAAAGGAATCTCAAACACCACCTCAGGGATAACTGGACAGCCAGGATCTCAGTCCCCTTTCCCCAAGCACAAGCTGAATGAGAAAGACTCACCAACAAGTGTTTCAAGGGCAGCTCCACTTTCACTGGCTGAGAACATGGGCAGCTGACATCGACCTTGACCCTCTAGGCTTCTGTAAAACGCTGATCTGAGGCAACTCTCCCTCGGTATCATTTTATGGAGTGGGAACAGAGATACAGAAGGAGCAACTAAAATAACTAACATCTCCACTACAGCAACCTTAACAAAAACCACAGAATTGACCTTCAGCTCTAAACTCTCAGGCCAGGGGTGGAGGAACAGGGCACTGACACCCACCAGGTGCCTGCTGGACAGCTGCGAGACCACACCTGTGCCTCCAGCAGCTTCCTGCCAGGCCTCTCCAATGTCCAGGCAACTGGGAATCTGAGTGAGACAAGGGGGCATTTCCACCCACCACCTCAGTGCCTCTTTATTTACCTCAAAGGTACTCTACAGAAGTAAATGCAAACACATAGGTACAGATCAAAGGGCAGTTTTGTAGAATTTTTATATTGATACAAATACGGGTTTATTTACTACAACAGAGTTTAGTTGAACTGAAAGTTTTTAAAGAGCAGACAAGTCTTTGAAAGATGGGAAAAACCATAGTTATCAGGTAATTTTTACTTCACAAAAGTGTTATTCTCTAAGTAAATCAGCTTATATAAGCCATACAACTAGAAACAGATCAAAAATTCCAAAATGAGGATAAGAGAAAAAACTAGAAAGGGGGCTAATGTTTTTATTTGATATAGTTCCTAAATATTAAAAGTGCTAAAATCTCAATTTATAAACCGAAGCCACTATGAGGTCTCTGTAAGCTTTTAGGAAAGCAGATTCATAGACAGGAATATATGTACACTGGAAGAACCGAGATGTGAATAATTGTTAACTGGTTCAGAAAAACTATGAAAAGGCAATGAAAAACTCAAACCAGACAGACATGTGCCATACTATCAAACTTGCTTTCTTTCTAATCTCTCCATCTGAGTAACTAGCATACAGGGAGCTCCTTAAAAAGCTGCTGGGGACAGAGCATGAGCAGATGCACAAAGGAAGGATCTTCCTGCCTCAGAAACTAGCCCTTTGAAAATTCCAGTCTGAGAATGACCTACCTTTCCCTGAATCCCGTCTATCCAGAATTGTTATCACATCCCAAAGGAGTTTAGCATTCAAGCATCTCAGTGAGCTTGAAACTGTTCAAGAGCATACGAGCTTATTAGGCTCTGCTCAGTCTTAACTCTCCTGTAAAGTCTGCAAGTACTCGAAACCCAACTTCCTCAAGGTAGGTTCACACACCATTTACCACCACACATGCACACACAAATGTGTCTTCAGTAAATGCTCTACCATTAAGTATGTCCCAGCCCAAATATATTTTTTTAATCTTGTGCTCTAAATCAGAGTCACTGTTTATCTCAGTCCTGTATATCAGAGTTGCAAATCTTATGTCCCTCATATTAGGCCTTAAACTTTCAATACTTTCCGTAGTAACACATGAAATTGAAAGAAATTCAAATTGCATGACTCTGTTCCAAATAAAAACACCATATACACATATGCTGTGGAGGGAAAACACATTCTATCCTTTAAAAACATAGCCTGCTAGGTCCAGTAACAGTACAAGTACTTTTTTAAAAGAAAGAAATTATGCCGGGCATGGTGGTGCACACCTGTAGTCCCAGTGGCTCAGGGGGCTTAAGCAGGAGGCTCACAAGTTCAAAGCCAGTCTCAGCACTTAGCAAGACCCTTCCTCAAAATTAAAAAAATAAAAATAAAACCAGGCTGGGATGTGGCTCAGTGGTTAAGCACCCCTGGGTTCAATCCCTGGTACAAAAAATAATAATAATAAATTAAAAGGTTATAATCTTATCATGGAAAAGGATGACCCAAGAGAAAACAGAACAAATAAGATGGAGCAATCCTTTATTTTATACACTTTGAAGTTTTCAGTAAACAATCTTTCAATGGAAAAGAGAACATGAAACATCAGCCTCTTGCCATCAGCAGCTGCTCTGCTCAGGGCCTAGGATCCGCCTTGCCCAAGTGGTGAGGTGGAGGGGTGTAGTTCCCTTCCTTTATTAGCTTATCCCGCTGCTTCTTGATGGTATTCACACGTTTCATCTGTCAAAGGAAAAAAGCATTTAAAGTCGAGGAAAAGTTGTATCAGAAAATGAGGTCTGGAGAAACCAAGCTAGATTTTTGTTTCATTTTTAAATTCTGTAAGGTTTTTCATCCTATAAAGGAACTTTAAGACAAAGTCCATCATTTTCTTTTTACTGTGCTAGGAATGGAAATCCCCCACACATGCTAGGCAAGAGGATCACAAGTTCAAGGATGGCAGGGGCAACTTAGCAAGACCTGCCCTCAAAAAAGGGCTTGGGGGTGGGGTGGGGTTCTGGGTTCAATTCTCAGCACTACATAAAAATAAAATGATTTTGTCCATGTACAACTAAATATACTTTAAAAGAAAAAAGAGAGGAG